ATATTCTCCAAAACCCCATTCTAATTAATAAGGCCCCTACGTGACCCACTAGGCAGCGAAGGGAAAGCCTCCCTTGTTCAGTTTGATACGGTGGCAGGAACCTTTTTTTTACAAATACTACCAACCTTATTCCTAATAGGGTTCTCTACATAATCTGTGTCATTGTAGACCCCAAAACCCTAAATGAGTTTTTAATGTTGAGGCTTCTGCTTTCGTTACGTAGGTTAGGGCTTGGGAACCCAAGAGCAGTGGCCCGAAGTTGCACAACGGCTAATGTAGGAACCTGATTAAGAAAGCTTGGGCCTTTATTAGGGTTCTTTTTAGGGTTCCTTTAAAGGGTACTGTAGGGGTACTAGAAGGGTTTTGGGGGGGTTCAATGTAGGAACCTGGTTCAGAAACCTTGGGCTTTTAGCAGGGGTCCTTATATGAACCCTACTGTTTTGGGGTTATAGGCCCAGGGTTTCTTAATCAGGTTCCTACATTAGTCTGCTTCTCTTCGCCACCATCCAGCCAGCCTGAAAGTGGTTCAGGGCTGAGGGGTTACTATAGGGGCCTTCATAAATACCTATACAATTTTGGGGTGGATCCTTATTATTCTACTTATAGCATAATGGGTCCCAAAACACTATTCTAATTATGAAGGCCCCTATATTGCGGTTTAGGGTTTGGAGAATAGCCAAAAAAGAACGAGACCGAACGGAGTTCGGTTGGGGGGGTGTGGGGTTTTACTAACTTCGGACCCCGAACCCCTACATCCGTACACCCCTAAACCCTGAACCCTAAACTCCCACTAAAGCCTAAACATCCCTAAACCCCAAAACTCCTAGCCAGGAAGGATTTAATCCTGATCTCGTCTTCGGGCAGCCCATTGTCCTTCCGGCCTCAGAGGCAAGGCAAGCACTACCACCGAGGTTTCTCTCACGGTTTCGTCAGGGTTCGTTGAGGAGGGATTCTAGAAGGGATCCGTAGGAGGTTCAGAACTTGGCAAGGTTTCAGGGTTTAGAGTTTAGGTTGATATGGGAAGCACACGGAACCACGGATTGGCTTCTGATCGCACATGCTTGATTCGCTGTAAGAGGCAGTGAGGGCACGCAGCGCATGCTCGGGCATGATCTTGAAGGCTTTCAGGACACCCGCCGGTGTGTTGAATATGGCGCATGGTTCTCAGCAAAAACCGTGACCTGCGTGCTTGAACCGTCAAGAAAGGGGAGCTGCTTCAGGTGTGGAGTTTGCTGTTTTGAATTCATTTAACTCTTCTCTTCCAGGTTCGACAGTCTTGGCGTCATCTACACCCTAAGCCCTAAACCCTAAAACCCTAAACCCTAAAGCCTAAACCCTAAACCCTAAAACCCTAAACCCTAAACCCTAAAACCCTAAACCCTAAAACCCAAAACCCTAAACCCGAAGCTTCCTGCGAGGCTCCACAGTTGCCTCAAGAGGTTCTGGCGACCAACCGAGGCCTCAGTTCGGGCTCTTTGGGTTTCTTTTGGATTTGGGGTGTTTATGTCTTACCCTAAGGCTCTAAGGATTCATATATTAGGGCTTTTGGGCCCGAAGACCATACTATATAAGGTTTTTGGGCTATTTTGAGCCTTAGGGTTGATTTGGGGGCTTCTTGGGGATTTGAGGGTTTAGGGATTCTGGCTTTAGGAGTTTAGGGGAGTCGTGGGTTTAGGGTGCAAGGGGCAGACACTTTATCATGCAAGACCGTTGTGATAAGAGACACACATTCCAGCACCATCAAATCGACAAATATCCAACTGTAAAAGCTTGAAACTTGAGCCTCTTCGCACTCAAATCAATCAAGAGCAAAGGGACTCTTTGAAACGCAGGCCCCGAAACCAGAACCCTCTTGCCCGCAATCCCAACTAGCCTATGACCGCGCTTCACAGTCGCATTCGTGGCTTTCAGAATGAGGCAGAGCTGCAGGAGGAAGCGGCCGGGATGTCGTGGAGGGACAGCCAAGGGGGTCTAGAACTATCCGAGGTGGAATCAAGCATGATTACCAATATTATTTTGGATGCTCCTTATTGTAAGTATAGTATAAAGGGCCCCAAAAACCCTATTCTAATTATTAAGGCCCCTATACTAGAAATCCCTTTAGTAACCCTTACAGAATCCTTTGCCGGAAGCCTAAAAAGGAACCTATTCGAATTACCTATAATTAGTCTCCATTGTAGTTCCTTTTTTTGGTTAGCCAAAATCTGTATTACAGGATCCTAGCCATAAACTTGGATAACCAAAATAAGGAATTATAATGGAGACTATAGGTATGTACTGTTATGGGGGATAATTCCCTAAGTCATAATAGTAATTCTTAATATGGAAACCCTACATTCTAGTATATCGGTACATCAATGGAGACTATAGGTATGAAGGGGAGGAGCTGATCCCATCGTACCGAGTCTCGAACCCCGGAGATGATACTCAGAGAGCCCAATACCCCCCTTCAGTAAGGAATATAACTAGACCTACTAAACCCTATTTTTTGTAGGTTCTTATTATAAACCCCAATATGGGATTTATGGGGACCCTCCTGGTAGGTTAAGGTAGCTGAGATCATAATATGAAGCCCTATGATTTAAGCCCTATTCCTGAATGAAGGGGTATGGGGCTCTCTAGATACTTCGCGACATCGCCAGATCGAGGACAGGCGGAGCGGCACGAAACTTCGCAACTTCTAGTCGGCTCGGCCCTTCAATCCCAGCGGCCACTACTAGACAGCATTTTGGGTCCAACTCCACTTGGGTAGTTGTCAAAATCAGGGTCTTTTTTTGGGTACCTTAAACATTAGGTGCCGTATTATATTGAGGACCCCAAAAGTGACTATAATTTTGACAACCACCCACTTGGACATCGAGCTGCGAACGGAAGGGGATGTCATTTGGAGCCGTCGTCACAATCTCCCCAACTCCATCGATCCTCCGGTTGTTAGCCACTTCAACCTCAACATCAAATCATGTAGGCCTGACTACGAGCCGTGCTTGGCACAAGGCCGAATGGGCCGCTGCAGTGGGAACCACTGCGATGACCAGGCACCCATGCGCCTAAACCCTAAGGGTACATGTACCTAAACAGCATATACTTTGGCCTTAAAGTAGTTCCTAAGTGGGCACACTCGGGCCAAATTATCAACTGTATGGGTACATGGACCCTGAGGGAAACTGTTTCGGCGTGAAGTGTTTAGGGTGTCCCGCAAAGCGCGAAACTCAAAGACCTTCTTCTTGAGTTGGGTTCAGGATTAATGTGCAATCTGATTAGTTTGCTGTGCTGTCTTTTTTGACCGCTTTGTGGGCACATGTTCGATGTAGTAGCTGTCGGGATATGACGGCTCTTGTCTACTGGAATACTACTCATCGCTAGCCCATTCGCATGGGATATGAAGGTTCAGGCTCCGAACCTTGCTCAAGACATGTAGGTACCCACGGTCTAACAGATGAAGAAGCTCCTGCTAGGCACATCGGAGCGCAGACATGATCTAGGAATCTGTTCTCTCAAAAGCTGCCGGAAACTTCTTTTGGATCAAGCCGCGGCGACCGTGATCACCAGTCGGGAACCAAGAGATGCCCCTAAGCACACGGTTTAAGCACTTAGGGTTTGATCAACGGTCTGCCAGCCGTCTCCACTTCCAATCCATTGTGCGCAATGGGGCTGAAGACGGCGAAGACTGCAAAGACTGCAGTTCGGGGAAAGGTCGGGCGCCTCAGCGAGTGCAGCTTTATAAACCTCAACCTCTTCGGAGCAAATCAGCGCCAGCTTTGAGGCTTCCCCACTTCTGTGACCCTACATGAAAATAGGAGGGAGCACACAGGTGCCGGCATTTATTGGTAGCCATGTTTGCTGAGCATGGTGCCGAATCTCAAGGGGCTGCCCAGCGTAAGGGTTTTCATGCATAGAGAAACATCAAGCAGCTTCCCTACCCCTTCCGCAGAAGAGCCATAGTAGCACCACAAAAGGGCTGTAAAGCTGCTTCAGCTTGCTCCTGTATGTTCCCCATCACAAAGGACCTGGCTCCATTCAACAGTTCAAACTCGAAAATCAGCCGCCAGCTGAATCTAAAATCACACCCTTGAGGTTCGCGTAGGCTTCTATCCGGAAATTGGAACCTACTGATATATATATATATATATATATATATATATGGCTACTATGGATCGGGGTTTCAGCAAGTGGGGGTCAAGATGACAGGCCAACAGGTGTGGTATAGCCGTGTGCTCATTGCTGACATCATGCCTGCTGCCTTCTCGTTTTTGTGGTCGTGGCTCTCAGGCCACTGACATGGCTGTCGCAAGACCAGGAGCAAAGTTCAAGAACACTAATGTTGGTGGTGTTCGCGTGTTTTGCCAGGGTCGTTCTGCTAATCGGAAACGCCGGAGTAGTAGGCACGAAGTTTTCTTTGGCCTTCCATTCCCGCTGACCCTTAGACATATCGCATCAGAAGTGCACTCTGCAGTCGCACCGACAATGAATCAAAAGCGTACTCCTAACAGGGCCTAAAGCCTAGGGCAAGAAATTGCCGAAAGACCGGTCGAAGCAGCCTCAAACCCTGTGACAGCTCTCTACCTTTAATACGGTGTCGCGAAAAATCCAACAAGTAGCCCCTGAGATATGGTCCTTCAAAAAAGTATACAACAATCCACACCGAAATCCTGTCTGGTTGGCCCCTTGGCTATCATTATTGTCGTCATAGCCATTATGATTGTTACTACCATCACAATTGCCATTGTTATTGTCATTACTAGTCATAACTAGCACCATTACCACTACCGTTATTATCATCATTACGATTACCAATTTGAGTATGTTGGTTTCTAGTGTCGATGTTATGTTTCCTACCCGTCCCTGAACCCTATACCCTAAACTAAACCCTCAACCCTAAAACTAAACCCTAAACCCTAAACTGAACCCTGAACCCTAAACCCTAAACCAAACCCTATGTAAACATTAAGCCCGTAAGCCCTAAACCCCTAAACCCCCACGAGGGTCAGTGCCTCCAGGCCATGAAGTTCGTGAGGGGTAAGCGCAAGGCAAAGGCTGGGCAGAAACAAGGGCTTGGGGGTTTTAGGGTAGGGTTTAGTTGTTTAGGATTTATAGGGGTTTAGGGTTTAGGGGTTTAGGGTCTAGGGCAGGGTTTAGGGGTTTAGGGTTTAGGGTATGGTTTAGGGGTTCAGGGTTTAGGGCAGGGTTTAGGGGTTTAGGGTTTAGGGTATGGTTTAGGGGTTCAGGGTTTAGGGGTTTAGGGTTTAGGGTTTAGGTATGGTTTAGGGGTTTAGGGTTTGGGGTTTAGGGGTGTGGGGTTTAGGGGTTTGGGGTTTAGGGGTTTAGGGTTTAGGGGTTTACGGTTGACACTAACCCCAAGGATAGAAGTACCAAGATAGTAGCTACTTAGCATGGATATCTTGGCCCCCAAAGTGTATACTATACGATTACTTGGACCCTTTGGGTATCCTTGGCTCAGGTTATAACAGTATGCGGCTTCGATTTTGCAGAAGTTTTGGTGCAGGGTAGTACTCTAAACCCCCAGCCCGGGGGTGTGGTCGGCGTGGTGTTGCTGTGCTGCTCAGGTTTGGAAAGCCTGTATTCATGGCAACAGACTTGTTCGAGACTGTGCTCGAGTACATGCCGTGTGCAGAGATTCACGAAAACACTCGCCCCTGCAGCAAGCTCAATGCACCAATACCATCCATACATCTTGGCACTTGCCGGGAAAACGGCCCCTGAAGACATGGCTCCCATGCCTAAAATCTGAAATGCCAGTGGACCTTTCTTTCGGCTGCTTGCGCATATGATAGCATAGTATAGTCTATTCCATTCTGCTCTATTCTATGATGTTCTATTCTACGGTCGGTGGACAAAATCCTGCATGACCCTAAGGACTCTAAACTATGGGAATTACGGTATATTCCTTACAATGGGTAATGATGCAGGATTTTGTCCATCAGCAGTATGATGGTACATTACATGGGCGGTGGTCAAAAATTGGGGTCCCTTTTGGGGTCCTGATTATACTACGGCACCTATTATTTCCCTAAACCCTAAACCCTAAACCCCAAAACGGGACCCGAATTTTGAGAACCACCCGAACGGCAGCAGCTCTTGGTCTTCCCAGTGATTCAGACCAAAGACCTCGGCCCGAAAGCCGAGTTCCCTTTCCCCTAATTCAGGATTTTGGCTTCATTCATGTTTTGAATCCCCTTATTAGTGTAGGGATACTTTTATATATATATATATATATATTCCTTAATTCAGGGGTATTGGGCAAGACTACTACCCCAATAAGCCGCGAGCCTCAACTTCATTTTAGGGTCCCCGTACCAGGACCCTCCTTGTGCCCTCAATTAGGGGTATATGGTCCCAAATAAGGGGCATTTAGGGTCTAATAGAGGGTAGTTGGAGGGTCTAGGTATAGAAACCGAACAGTAGCAAAAAAGGGTACCCTGATTATCAAGGGGCTACTCAGGATCCTAGACGAGTGTACCGCACATACGTAAGGACCCGCTTCGCTAAGGATGCCGATTCAAGCCTGACTTCCTGATTGCACAACCTTGCTATGCGGCCTTTCTCAAACCCCAGAGACCTGCACAACAACCGTTTTCAAACCCGCATTTTTTGAACCATATGAACGGAGGCCCAGTGGTAGTTCCAATAGCCTGTTTGGATTACTTTTTCTCAGGCCGCCGTGGAGATGGATCCCACCTGCATACTTCGTGCTACAGAGAAGGCCCGGCACGTCAGGGCTTCAAGGTTTGGGATTTTCGGCTTTAGGGTTTGGGGTTAGACTTTAGCGTGGGTTTCGGATTAAGGGTATAGTTAGCACGGGCGTGGGATTTAGCGACTGCTGAAGTTTGGGGTAAGGCGGAAGGGTTCCAGGTTATGGGGTCTAGGATGCCTGCGGCCACTGTTCCTTTAACCGTCATATCACTAGAGACACATGGGCTGTACCGCACTTTCTATCTTTTGCCGATTCCTAAACATCAAGCCCTTCTTAAAGCCTTATTAAGACCATATTAGGCCCTTACTCAAGCTTTCTTGAAGCCATACTAAGCCCCTATTAAAGCCTCAATAAAGTCATACTAGGCCCTGATTCTAACCAAGGGTTACGATTTGAGTGCTTGTGTCGGCCCCCGGCTCGACTCGCGAGGAGTTTAGGAATTACTCTTACTCTCTAGGCATAAGGTAATGTAGGGGCCTATGTGGTTACCAACAGTACTATTTTGTCGAGGATTCCTGAGTATAATTACACCATACTATACCCCAAAACCCTCTTCTAACGATGAAGGCCCTTATGATTTGGCATCTTCCAGGTGCGTTTAAGAAACTTTGCTATAAGTGCCTCGGTAATTGCCAACACTACGTCGGGCCTTTCTGGTTTAAAGTATACTATGGTATACCTATGTCGCGCTTGCTGGCTATAAACATAGTATGGTATTCCCTAGAAGCTAGATCTAGTTATTAAGGCCCCGACTACAAGGATATGAAGATACCACGTCTGGGTGAGCAGCTGAGATGTGTGTTAGCGACTCTGTGAGCGGTCAGTTGTCTCCTGCAGCGATATGTATATATATATATACATGCACACACACACACATAAATATAAGTCAATACTAACAACATCATCTAAGACAGTATAACAAAGTATATGTAGTATAATTAAATAAGCAGTATATATATATATATATATATATATATATATATATATATATATATATATATATATATGTATATATACATACATATATATATATATATATATGTATATATGTATACTTGCTTCATGCCGGACTGCTTGCCCAGCTTCACAGATTGCTGTAAGGCTCGATGCCAACGAACCGGTGACTGTGAGTTTTTATACACACCCGGAAGCTCTCTTAAGTAGGCAGTCCTAGGGGCATGGAATACTCGAACTTAGGTTTGCTTTGCATGCCAGGCCTGATTTCCAAAACTCTAACCTGCAAACCCTCACGGGTCATGCTTGTCATTCCCCCAAAGGGTCCTAGGTCCTAGGTACCGTTATGGGGGTACTTCCCCAATTCATAATCGTAATTCCTAAAACAGAAGCCATACCTATAGTCTCCATTGTAGTTCCTTTTTTGGTTAACCACTTTCATGATTAGGATCCTATAATAGAGATTTTGGTTAACCAAAGAAAGGAACTACAATGCAGACTATAGGTACATTCTACTATATCTAGGTAGGGCTTTGGGACATTTTATGTTTTCCCTTATTGGCTTAAGAGGATCTTATTTACTAATATTTTTCAAAGGCTTTAAACACCCCACCTAGACATGGGTACTTTGGGCCCTTTGGGTCCGCAAGGCCATGAACTGCAAGCTGGTCTACGAGAACCGGGCTGTGGCGTGTCATGGTAGGCCTGCTGCCCGCTTCAAGGTTTCGGGTCAAAGTTTACGTATCTCCAAGGGTAAAAGGAGGGACCCTTAATAAGGACCCCTAGGTATATACCCTTAGTATAGCTATTATATACCCATTATATAGCCCAATAGGGTAGGGGTCCCGGTTAAGGGTCCCTCCTTTTCCCCTTTGACTATCGTCTCCATTTTAGTTCCTATTCTTGGTTCACCAAGTTAAGACTTATAGGATCCCAACCATAAAACTAGAAAACCAAGTAAAGGCACCACAATGGAGACTCTAGGTAGAGGTTTTAAGTGTAGAGTGCCTTTTTTTGGTCGCGGGCATGTCTGCGGACATGCGAGATTTGTGGACACAGGGCTCAACTTCCGGTTCAAGTTGAGGGTTTAGTGTTGCGTGTTTTAGGATTCGGGCCGAAGCTTGTGTGGTAAGTGCTTCGCCTTTAGGGATTGGTGCCAAAAACAGGTTTGGGCGGTACTATAGAGGCCCCAATGAATAATTAATAATTACCTATACCGTCTTGGGGGTTCCTTGTTATAACTATAGTATACGGGGCCTAGTTTAATTATTAGGGCCCCTATATTCTGGGGATGAGCATGTGCGAAGCAAACTTGGAAACTTCGAGGCTTTCTGCGCGAGAGGGGGCAACTAGACTGGAAGCCACTGCTGCCCGGCCTGTACTCGACATGTTTCTGGTTGCAGAACTCTGCTTGTCTGTACTGTTGTAAGCGTCCTACATCCTGAGCCTTACCCCAAATCCTTGCATCCTAAGCCTTGGAGCCCAAACCTTGCGCCCTAAAGCCTCAACCCTGAACCTTACATAAACCTTACTTAAAGGGTCATGGGACTTAGTAACTAAGGTTATTACTAGGGCAACTATACTTATAACTACGTATAACCCCAATTAAGGTACTTATAACCATACTTACTAAGTCCCATGATCCTTTAAGTAACTGTTAGCCTTGACCCAAGACTGGTGACCTCACAGCCAGGACCATTCGCGAGGTTTTGAACATGAACGTCGACGGCGTGAAGTACCGCAAGGCGCGTTCAGGGTCTAGGGGTTTCGGGTTAAGGGGTTTAGGGTGTACGGACGTCTGTTTACTCTCAACAACGAATCGAGTAGCTTGCCAGGACAAGTTTGCAGAAGAGCAACAACCCGGCGGATCGTCAAATTCCACACCGTAATCACACACGATGCTCCCGCGAAGTAGGGTTGTTGGAGTACCTGGACCATGAGTATGAGACGGTTGGGTTATGGCTCTGTTGGTTTTCCAGAATTTGCGACATAAGAACCATGAGCCGGCAGGAGCTTCAAACTTCGACCGCTCCATCAAATCACAGACCCTCATATCCCAGGTAAATGCCCAACCCGCAAAATCAAGCCAACCCCAAATCCAGCAATCGCAGGCTCTACACCCCTAAGCCATCCTAAACCCTAAACCCCCAAACCTTGAGCCCTGAGAACCCGAGGCCGACCTGAAGTACGACCTCAAAGGGGGCCGTCTCGACTTGCTGCCACCTCGCTCAGATGCGGGTCCTGTGCCACAAGGAGCGGCTTGAGGGTTTAGGGTTTAGGGTTGTGCTTGGGGCCTCGGGCGGTTTGGGGTGTTAAGGCTCCTTTCAAGGGATCTATAAGGGTTCTATAGGGGGATCAATAAAAGGGGGTTTAGAGTTCAAAATTCACAGGGTTTGGTGAGGGTGAGGCGTGCTGATTGTGAAGTTTTCAATTGACGGATTCTGATGGTTTGTCGTTCTTTGGCTCTAGATCTGGCGAACATCGCTTTCTGATTTCGAAGCCTTCGATCTGCACAGAAGCGGACGACAGATTTTCGGCGCGTCCGTGGGTCCGATTCTTAATATAGGGGCCTTCTTATTTGGGACACATTATACTATAAATGTAATGAGGAACCCCCGCAAAACAGTATCGGTAATCATTACGGCCCTTATTTTAATCCTGTGATGTTCTTGACTAGCGCATTCTGTCGTTTGAGGCCCATGACTACTACAGAAGGCCTAAGTCATTACGTGGGAGTTTCCGAAAATTAAGGGGTACCTTATTTTGGGGTCCTTAAAATAAGGATCCTAGTATTTAGGGCACCGTACTAGGGTCCCAGCTATTCGGAAACTCCCACGTAATTTCCTGAGGGTTCCTCATTGACCTTATACTCTACTATACCCTGAACTCCGTTTCTATTTACATATGAAGGCTCCTATATTACAGCTGCCAGGAAATCTCCTATGTTCACCTGTGTACAGTTACATGTTGCTGAGCTTTTGATTCATCCCTCCATCTTGCCTTCCACACCGTTGACCTCAGAAGCCGCCATCGTCCATATTCTTACAAGTGAGAGTTCTGTTGACCCTTGCTTCCTGTTTTTGCCCCAGCTAGTCAGCTAGTGTTACGGTTTTTCTTAACATGGGGCAGGATTGAAGTCGTTTGACGTGTTCCAGTGGTTGCTATCGATGCCTGCAGTCTGCTCTAAACCCTCTCATGTGGTTCGGATGTCCACTATGCAGGTCGAGGGCGGCCCAAAGCGCCGCGGGCTGGGTCGGAGCCCCAGCGGTTTAGGGTTTGGGGTTGCGGGACCCCGCACCCTGAACCCTGAAACTCGAAGAAGCCAGAACCAAATATGGAGCCCCAAGTCCCCACTACTCAAGTGTCCGGTGTGAGGGATGTGAGACCTCCAGGAACCTTGATAAAGACCCTGAGCAGCGTTCGTGTCATAAAGCTTCGAGGCCTTAGAAGCAGAATATCCCCTAGTTGTCAGAAACCTCAACATGAGCCATATAACATGTCCTGCCAGTGGCTGCCCAGGCAGCCACTGCCTGAAGCCACGCTCAATGTGTCTTGGCAGCGTTGTAGGTCTGCGCCGTGGAGTTCAGTGGCTGAGGGTTTGGTGCTCACTTGTTTATGCAGGAGTTTGCTATGTTCAGGCATGTGAAACCCCCTGCTATCACAAGGCTTGACATGTGTTGTTTATCACCGACACGAACCACGGAGATGTTCGCAACGAGAAAAGCAACATTACGACAGCCGTGGCAATCGTGGACGTCCTTACCAACAAGCGATAATGGCACAAGTAAACTATCACCTCCGAACCTCGGAAAGCATGAGGTTTAAGTAAATTCCTCCAAGTACCGGCAGTATAACGAGAGCAGCAACAGTCGTCATCTTTGAAACCGTCATGCGCCTTATCATCACTGGGCTTCTCCGCCTCACAACCACAACCACAACCACCGTCAGCACCCTAATCCTTGAATCCTCGGTTCCTGAAGCACTGAACCCAGCCTTTTAGCCCACCCCAAAAAACCCTGTGACCCCCTAAACTCTGTAAACCCTACACGCCGCATAATCCCTCTGAGCCCTGGACCCTCAACCCTAAATCCCAAGCCTCCGAGGAGTTTTTCCAGTTCTTGGCGTGCCAGCTGTCCATCGAAAGTCGCGAGCACCTGGGAGAGGAGCTGGCTATGGCGGAGAAGGCTGGTCTCCGGGCTTTGGGGTTTAGGGGTGGGGGTCTAGGGTGGAAGGCTGCTTACCGTTGTTCTGGTTGGCTCTGAGGACTTTTTGGGTTTCTACATGAACTATAACCAAGAGGCTAAAAGCTTAACTTTTTGGAGCTGGCTATGACGGAGAGGCTGGTCTCCAGGGTTGAGGGGTTATGCTTCAAGGGTTTAGGATTTAGGGTTTAGGGTTTAGGGGTTTAATTCAGTTTCGGGGTTAAGGGGTTTATGCTTATCCTAGGTAGTATGAGAGAGACCCCTGAAGGGGACACTTCTTAACCCTACTTCTGGCTTTAAAGGGCATCTTAATGAGAGGATGTGTCTCCGCAAGGGTTCCTCTGATCCTAGAGCATGGCACTCTGCCATTCTCCCATACAGCCACAACATATCATGCCCCCACAACCCTACAGGGACGTGATAAGAACAACTCTGGTTGACAAGAATACCTAAACCCGAACATAATCTGACTCAATACGTTTTTCTGATCAGTAGTTAAGGCCCCGTATTCCCCCCTAACTTGATGAAACACTGCAGACGCTCGTTGGAGCTGCCGCTTCCGATCAGTCAGGCAGCTGCCGAACTCTTCCCAGAGGTCGACAAGCACGTGAAGCCGAACCTGGGGAATCTTGGCTCTAGGGTTCAGGGCTTAATATCGGGGTCCAGATAATTACCAATAGTATTTTTGGGGCCCCTTTTTATATGTTTAGTATAAGGGGCGCCAAAACCCTATTCTAATCAAGGCCCTTATATGAGGGGACCTGTGGTCTCCGGGTTTACAGTGTGAAGGCTTTTGGTTCCGTGCACCTACTTGGAGGATCATGGGGCTTAGTAAGTATGGTTACAAGTACCCTAATTGGGGTTATAAGCAGTTGTAAGTATAGTTACCCTGATAATAACCATTAGTTACTAAGTCGTCCCATGATCCTGTAAGTAGACCCTAAACCCTAAACCCTATTACTATAGATCCCTCTAAGGAACCCCTATAGATCCCTTTTTAGGAACCCTTTAAGGAGCCCTAGTTACTAAGTCCCATGATCCTTCATGCTTCTAGGGCTGAGGGGGGTTTGGAGTCAAGGGTTTCGCATACACGGGCTTGAAGGCTTGAGGCTCGAGGTTATTTGGTTGGGGTGGAGTATCAGGTTTAGGGTTTAGACGATTCCAGGGAGTTCATTCGGTGGATGATAGAAATCCTGCATTACCTTAAGGACCCTAAACTATGGGAATTGTGGTATATTCCTTATTGTGGGTAATGCAGGATTTCTATCATCAACCGTTAGGCTCGTTGCTGCAGATTGTGAGTTTGCAAGCATATTCGTGGGATCGGAGTCGCAGGCTTTGCGTTCTGCGCCTATAGTGAACCCCAGAAAGTTGGAACATGGATTTAGGATGATTCATGCTGGGTTTCCCTTTACTTTACTTTAAGGGCATGAGGCTACTGATGTTCCAACTTTTTGGCTTCTACTGTATATAGACCTAAGCCCTCAAGCCCTGTAAATCCCAAGAGCCCTAAAACCCTAAATCCCAAGCTCTCTTTGGCATAGGCCATAAATAAGTCGAGGACTGCTTCTGCGCCCCGAAGTGTTTAGGGCATTCAGGGTTTAGGTTTAGCGCGGAGGTCTGCATCAAGGGAGTAACATCTCCAAGGGAACCCTAGCGATGACTCTGACATTTTACCTATAGTCTGCATTGTAGTTCCCTTTTTTGGTTAACCAGTTTTATGGTTAGGAACCTATAACAGAGATTTTGGTAAACCAAAAAAGGGAACTACAATGGAGACTATAGGTATTTTGCATATTACCCCAAACGCATGTTTTTAACTGTAAGGCTTCTTCATGAATTACCGGTTCCATGGTTCGATGTGTCCTTGATAATCAGTGGCTAATGGGCGCCGAATCTGGTGCTTCCGGGTGATCGGATCGAAAAGCTTAAACTCAAGCCTGCAACCTTGTAGAGCATGACTCGAGACCCCTGCGTCGAGTCCTTCCGGGTATTGATAGAAGAACAGTTGATTTAAATACGCCAAATATGGAACGGCCCTAGAAGGCCCCCCTGAACCTCCATCCATGATTCCTACATGAAACCCTATAATGCCACGAACAAATGTGAGAGCCGAGATTTTAAAACTGAGGCCCTTTGATGAGCTGAGAAACTGCCTTCATGCCGACCAAACAGGAACTCATGTTGTCAATGAGGGCTCCCTACTTGGAAGGGCAGGGGACTTAGTAAGTAGGTTATAAGTAGAGTTATAAGTACCCTAAATGGAGTTACCCCAATTATAACCCTACTTATAACCTACTTACAAAGTCCCCTGTCCTTCCAAGTAAGGGCCTTTACTCTGCCACACATCGCATGACTCCATTGCTTCAGACTCGAAAAACCTGGAGCGTCAAGTTAAACCCTATAAAGCCCTCGACCCCAAACCCTAAATCCTGGAGCGGAGCAGAGGGAAAAGGGGATTAACCTAAACCCGAATAGCCTGAGCGCTGAAAACCATAAAGCTCCAAACCCGGTTGGGTTCTGCCTTGCTGTCAGGAATACGGAACGATGGGTTCCCTACCACACAGTGCTTGGAGTCCACGAGCTTTTCCTGATGGAGGCTTACATAGGGCTTTAGGGTTTGGGTCTTGAGGGTTTAGGGCTTTAGGTTTAGGGTTTAGTGCTTTAGGGGCCTCTCTGGGTGGTGGTGTTTTTGTAATGTCAAGCATTCACTCGGGCCGCCCAGTTCAGCCCTTGAGGTGCAGGGCTTACCAGGGCCTTCTACAACACCTACCTTTGTGTAGGGTTCCCTAAGCCCTAAACCCCACCCTAAACCCTAAACCCTAAACCCCAAACCGTAGCCTTCTGATTCCTTTCTTGGAGGTTGTTTGGGGCTTCCGGGGCTCTGTCTTGACGCCTACCTCTCGAGACGGACCTCTTTCAAACCACCTTGTTTGCACGCTTTGGGGCTCATTAGGGTTTATGAGTGTCGGCCCGGTCGAACCCTTCAGCACCTACATGGCCCGTTTGGGGTTTATAAGGTTTCGGGTTGTGTTTATCAAGGGGTTTGCCCAAAGCGCAGCGGCAACAGCCTTTCGCTACAAGCATGAGAACGAAGTTCTCAAGCAGAATATGTGGTGTGTATTTTTGGGCATCCCGGGGGGGGGCGTTATCCTGAACCCCAAACCCTGAACCCTATATCCCCATAACCCTGAACCCTATATCCCCATAACCCTGAACCCTATATCCCCATAACCCTAAACCCTATAACCCTACGCTTCCCAGCCCTGTTTTGCAAGGCGGTGCACAGCAGGAAGGACTGGAACGACAAGCAGCCCCTCGCTCCCGGGTTTAGGGTTTAAGATTTCGGGTTTAGGGCTTAGAGGTTTAGGTTTTAGGGCGCTTTAGGGGTTTAGGGTTTAAGGGTTTGGGGTTCAGGGCCCTTTAGGGTTTAGGGGTTCGGGTTTCGGGTTTTAGGGTTCCATTGCCAGTAATTACCGATAGCTGACACCTTGGGATTCTTTCCATCGACTTTACATGTATTTGTGAATCGATAGAGGTACCCATTCATAAGCAACTTCGGGGTGCCGCAAATCTACAGCCCAGCTTGAACTGTCGTACATGGCAGTTTAGCGTGAGACGACATAGACCTGTTCGCAAGCCGTGTGCATAGCTGGATTCTCATGTTGACAGAAACCTGATGGTTTCGACGTACTATAGGGGCCTCAATAATTACCTGTACTTTTTTGTGGCTTCCTTAATATAAGTATACTATAATGGGCCCCAAAGACCTATTCTCATTCTAAGGCCCGTATATTACGTAAGTTCTACCAGCCTTCAACTGTGATCTTGGGGATAGCCCTGGTGCCAGACTCCAGCTGAAGTAGTACTTGGAGGTTCATGGGTAGTTGTAAGGGTTACTTTAAGGGTCACTTTAAAGGGATCTATAGGGATTCTATAAGGGTATAGGGTTTAGACCTACTTGGAGGTTCAGGAGTAGTTATAAGTAGGGTTATAAGTAGGGTAGCTATACTTATAAGCCATATTAGGGGACTTATAACCCTACTTATAACTACCCCTGAACCTCCAAGTACCTTCCGCTTTACTCCGACACTGCCACAATTGCGGGCAAACCGCCCTTGTCTTGCAGTCCTTCAGCTGCACACCGCTGAGACCGCATACCGCTCCGGCAGTGCTTTCTCAAAAGGCATCACCTGCATTCAAATCTCAAAGCCAAACACCGAGGGTCCATCCAGCATGAGGAAGTCATAGGACGCCAAAAGGGGTTTTAGCATATGGGCGTTTAGTAGGGGTCGGGGTTCCCATAATAGGGTTCATATTAGGAATCCCTACCCCTTGGATCTTAAACCCCCCATCTTGGCCTCCCATCAGGAAGTTCCTGGCAATGTTCATCTTTCGAGCACACTGCAAGCGCGACCTTTTCTTGCAGGCGCAGGCGCAGCGCGTGAGTTTGATGCAGTCAAAGAGTTCCTGATCCTTCAGTGGTTCCCCGTAGCATCTTCTCAGAAGAGCTTGGCCAAAACAATGGTAGAATGTTACCTTGCAGTTTTGAACACTGGGTCACTGGGGCGCATCTTCGGATTGTTTCGATTGTAGATTCAGGCAGCTGTAACTACGGACGCTGGGTGCATGCACCGCAGTTGCATTCTCATGTTCCGTTGCAGGGGTAAGGGATAGGCGGAGATCGAACCCCTTCCTAACAAAGCTCGGATGGCACAAGTCCTCAAAGTGGAATGCCTCGTAGGGAAAGGAGGGCGGAGGCCTGCATCTAGGACGAAGGCTTCGTTCTTCGCCGTTTTTCTCGAAAACGAGTTCTCGGAAGAGACACGCCGCCCGTTGTTCTCATAATAAACTAGACTAGGGTTTGGCGCCCATCATAGTCTGAGTCTAATTGCAATAAGGAGCCCACATAACAGTTTAGGTAAGTATTAAGGCCCCTATAGTATTTGCTCGCAGGTGCCATTGATGAAGGATCAGTTTTGGATGCTCGGCAAAGCCCACGAGAAAGGCATTAAAGGGACGGCCCCAGGCCTCCCACATGTTCGACTAAGAAGCGCGACTTTGTGTTCCGGCCTGTCACAATGAACTTTCACCTCTGTAATGATCGGGCTTGTGCTAGTGCTAGTGGTAGTAGCAATCGTGCAAGTAATCGTGTTAGCAGTAGTGCTGGTGGTGCTGGAAGAGGTAGTAGTGGTAGTGGTGCTGTGGTCGTGGTCGTGGTAGCAGCAGCAAGAAATCAGTAGCAACCAGTAAGTTGTCAGTTGTAAGTAGTAGTAGTAGTAGTAGTAGTAGTAGTAGTAGTAGTAGTAGTAGTAGTAGTAGTAGCAGCAGTAGTAGTAGTAGCAGTAGTAGTAGCAGTAGTAGCAGTAGTAGCAGTAGTAGCAGTAGTAGCAGTAGTAGCAGTAGCAGCAGTAGCAGCAGTAGCAGTAGTAGTAGTAGTAGTAGTAGTAGTAGTAGTAGTAGTAGTAGTAGTAGTAGTAGTAGTAGTAGTAGTAGTAGTGTAGTAGTGGTAGTAGTAGTAGTAGTGGTAGTAGTAGTAGTAGTAGTAGTAGTAGGTGTAGGTCTAGGTCTAGGTCTAGGTCTAGGTCTAGGTCTAGGTCTAGGTCTAGGTCGTGGTCGTGGTCGTGGTCGTGGTCGTGGTCGTTGTCGTGGTCGTGGTCGTGGTAGTGGTAGTGGTAGTGGTAGTGGTAGTGGTGGTAGCGGTAGTTGTAGTAGGTGGTGGTGGTGGTGGTCGTGGTCGTGGTCCTGGTCCTGGTCGTGGTCGTGGTCGTGGTCGTGGTCTTGGTGGTGGTGGTGGTGGTGGTGGTGGTGGTGGTGGTGGTGGTGGTGGTGGTGGTGGTGGTGGTGGTGGTGGTGGTGGTGGTGGTGGTGGTTGTGGTGGTGGTGGTGGTGGGGGCGGCGGCGTCGGCGGCGGCGGTGGTGGTGGTGGTAGTGCTAGTGGTACCTGGTAGTGGTAGTGGTAGTGGTAGTGGTTTTGGTGGTGGTGGTGGTGGTGGTGGTGGTGGTGATGGTGGTGTTGGTGGTGGTGGTGGTAGTAGTAGTAGTAGTAGTAGTAGTAGTCGTAGTAGTAGTCGTAGTAGTAATCGTAGTAGTAATCGTAGTAGGAATCGTAGTAGTAATCGTAGTAGTAATCGTAGTAGTAATCGTAGTAGTAATCGTAGTAGTAGTAGTAGAAGAAGAAGAAGAAACATGCGTAGGTTACAGGGTTCTTCGTTTGCTTTCCACGAACCTCGACCTGACCTTCAACGTAAGTCCCTGCACTCCCCGAGGAAGAATCCACTGAAAGCCTTCGAACCCAATGGCCCCATGGAGAAAGCTATCGCTTTGCACGGATCTCAGAGGAAGGAAGGCATGAGGCTTGGGGGTTTGGGTTTTCACTACGGGTTCAGGGGTTTTGGGAGATTCCTCTTCGGTTTGAATCAGGAATTTGTGGATGAAGGCCCGAAAGTTAAAAGTGCCTCAGTTAAAAGTGCCTTGGATTCATAGGTGATGGGCTTGGACACCGACATGTATATAGCAAATTAGGCGGTGAAGCATCGAAGGTGTATGTCTCTCGACAGTATTCCGCCTCAGGTCCAAGGCTAAACTTATATGTTTGTGTTTAGTCGGGTGGTAGGCCCAGGGACTCTAATGTCCCTTAATTCAGGAACATACCTTATGTCATATTAGGGATCCTACCATAAGTTAAGGGTACATTCCTTAGGGGTACTTAGAAATACATTTTAATTTTTTGTTATTATAATCCCTAAGAAACAGCTAAAACTGTAATTTTTGCTAGGGTTCTAAGTTCAGTATGGATTCCTGAATTATGGGGTATTGGAGAGCTGTAGGATGGTTCACGATTTGATGGAGGCTCATCGTGAATTAGAAGCAGCACCATATGGGAGTTCCCGAAAATTCGGGGTACCTTACTTTGGGGTCCTTTTAATCGGGATCCTACGATTTAGGGTAGTATATTAGGGTCCCCCATTTTTGGAAGCAGTCATATGGCACGCAGATACTCCTAAATTACATACCCCTGTTTTTCCAACTCTCCGCGATGCTTCTGCGGGACTGACCTCTGCCTCTGGAACATGTATTTGCACACCCGCAATTCGAATGCGTTAAGACAATCCTCGCTCTGGGCAACTGACGCCCTGCAGATTCATCCTCTTAAGTCAACCGTGGGCCCGACCCCGAACCCTACACCCTAAACCCTAAATACATAAACACTATAAGCCCGACACCCTAAACCCTAAGCCCCCAAACCCTAAACCGTAGTTCGACTTCTGAGATCGGAGACCGCCGCAGAGGCAAGGGGCAGTCAAGCAGTTACCAACCGAAAGCACCGAAAGCAGGTATAGTAAATTAGAGGATAGTACAGTGACAGCAGAGTATACTATACTAATTAGTATAGTATACTAGAACTCTTCGAAAAATCCGTTCCCCCCACCAAACCTGAGTTGGGTACCCAGGTACCGGAAGAAGACAGGAAATGCTCTGCTGACCAACTGCTTTCGCATCATCCCCGAGCGAGCCGCTCTGAAAGCACATTTGGAAGACCTCAGGTTGCAAGATCAGTGCTGATGCAGTACTTGCGACTTTGTATTATGCGTGTTTTTGCCCGCTAGCTATACCGGCCTGACATGAGTGGCTATTCGGAGGCAAACCTATACCACCCCAAGCGTCTAAAGACGTGCTTTACCTTCAGAGTTTTGTGGTTAAGGGTGAGGGCAACATTGCTAGTTCGGCATTCTAATAGTTGCTGTCTTGTAGGGATTAGGGCTAGACCTATCCGCAGCAGGAGGAGCAGGACGAGTGGTAGCTAGTGCAGCTGCAAGATACGAAAGCCTGCGAGGGTTTAGGGTTTAGGGCCAGGATCTGCGCCATAACAGATGCCTCTGCCCCACTGATCGCCATAAAGTGCCATTTCACATGATGAGCGACACATTCTGTTGCCATATACAGCACCGCGAAGGTGATACTGAGCACCAAGGATCTCAGATTCTGCCGACTAGACACCTGGAAGACGAAAATGCTGATTGAAACGACTTACATACGGCCTATGTCCTTTGTAAAGCACATGGCGATCTTAAGTCATGTGTTACGGCTTGTAAACCGGTGAACCAACCATCTGCAAACTTGGCAACTACACGTAAGTATTGGAGGCTTCGGAACCAGGCCAAGCTCTGATGCAAACAAATCAAAATTTGACAATCTCGTTCATATGATGTTGTGCCAACAGGTAGAGCGGTTGTGTCCGAACATGGTCGGTGCCTGCATTTGTCAAATAGGTGCAGGGAATGCATGTGAGCCACCAGTTGGAAACCACTACCGTTAGCCTTAATATGACCCCAGCCACAGTATAATGCAGCTGCCTCCGGCCCGACATGCCCGGTGCAGTGGACTGTGGCTTCAGCTTGGTCACGACTTTCTTCAAAGCCGTATCAAGCAGCCTCAAAACTCCATTGGCATACCCCGGACCTAAATGATGCTCCAGTTTTAAGGCTTACTTCATGAAGCTTGCTATTGCCACAGTGTCTGAAACGTCAGTCTATTTGTGCATTGCAGTATATAAACGCATACCCTGGGTCGCTGGGCTCTTGGCTGCAGCCATCTTCAGCCCCCACATCAGGACCCATTTCTTAGCACACCGCATCCAAAGTACGACTGGTTCTCTTCGATTGCATAGAGATCATGGTTTGGGTTTCCGGTGAGCCTTGCAACGAAAGCATGGATTGAAGATGTTGCTCGCCAAGCTGCAGTGTGCTATCAAGAACCGTAGGAATCACTTTGGATTTGCACGCTATGTGCTGACATTTCATTCCGGTTGACACATATGTGAGCTTTCTTACCATGTCAGGAGGGAAAGGTGCTTTCCTTGGCACATGCCCTAAAGGTAGGGAGAGGCCGTCACGGTAAATACAACACATCCGATAGAGGTTGAAGTAAAAACTACAGGTTGGGGTAAAAACTGCTCCATGGCTGGACTCCAGGCACAGGCGGTTCTTATCTTTTGCTGTACTGTTTACACACAGACTTGGCTTGTGTTTGCACTAAAGTTGCCTTGTAATTATAGCTTACACCGCACAACGCAAAACCGTAAAACTTCGTGGTATAGGGTGTGGGATTTCAATGGGGGTGAGGTTTCAGACAGCGCAGGTATTTGAGTCGGAGTATTTGCTGGCGGGGTTGGCTTCAGTTGGCAATGTTGCAACTAGTATATTAATGCTTAAAGCATAGTACAATATGATAATGCCAAACGCTTGGGTTGATAACACTATAAGCCAGTACTGCCTGTCAAAAATGTGCAGTCATAATCCTGTACTTTATGTGAGTACCCTTCGCTCTCAGCTTCTGACCCCGACTGTCAGTTCTCAACTTTTTCGACGAATGCATGCATGTATTTCATATCGTTGTGTAAGGATGAAATAAACTACTATAGTCAGCCCAAAGTACTGGGCAGAACTATGTTCGTAAGAATTCACAGGACTGCTTCCGGCAGCTCCCGTTGTAGTGCCACGTCTTGTACGTGACCCCAGAGCTGCAAATGGTCCTACCACGTGCACGTGTAAGTTCGATTAGTCAAGGTACAATTGTTCACGGAGACAAATGTTTGCGTTTTGACATTAGCGCTTAAAGGGTGCCATGCCGCTGTTTCCAGCACGCGCGCTGTTGGCAAACAAAGGTCAGCAGCAGCAACATCTCGTATAGAATAGTCCTTGCCAAAGCACCGGGAAGCAAGCGCTTCCAAGTTAGAAAGCATGTGCGGCGAAGCCATGCTGCATGTAAAGACGTGCAGCGGCGACTGCACGGATGTTTTGGAGGCCATTGGCCAGACGGTTCCGTTTCACCGAGACGTCACGGGAATGCAGGATTTATTTACGTTCCCCGATGATCCCCGATGCTTTTCGGCTTGAACGTGTTGGTGATGCAACCCTTAGAAGATTGCGCAGAGACGTTGCTGGAACGTAAGGGACGGATCGCCTACGACCACACCCTTGCAAAGCAGGCTTGGACTGAGTTTAGACGGATTGCTGATTGCATCCATGCAGAACAGATCTGGACTGAGTTTGGATGTGTGCAGGTCTTAGGTTCCCATATCCGAGATCCCCAGCCGTGAAACCCGAAACAAAATCCCCATTCCATGTCCTCTTTGCGAAGCTCCAGCTAATGAACCAACAGTGACCTGTCCAAATAAAGATGTGATACAGATCGTGATGGTAATTTCGGCAGGTAACTACAACTGGTGATACAGATCACGATGAAGGTTCTGCTAGGGTATAATCGATGCTAACTCAGGTCGTGGTGATGGTTCAGATGGTTAAACAGAGGTGGTGACAAAGTTCGTGACGATGGTTAAAGTAAGGGAAGCAAACATGATGATGCAGAGCGTGGTGGCGGGAAGGTTTCTGGGTGTTTGAGTGTAGGGTTTTAGGCTTGAGGGGTTACGGCCGTATGCAGTCATGGGTTTTGCGTGGGGCTCGGCGCAAACGGGTGGCTGGGTGTATACAAGCGTTTTAGGTACTGTATACTCCAGTTGTCGACATACATAGGAATGTAGTTACAAAGGTATATATGTATATTGACATATAGTTAGAGATCAGATAGCCCCGTAGGTATCGAGGTATTGATGTATGCACTTTTAGATCCAAAGATCTTTAAATACATAGGTACACAGATGTATCAATACTGATATTGAGGTAAAGAGATGTGGAGATATGTAGATTTGTTCACATTGCAGACTTGTAGATATACTGTTGTAAAGATATGCCAGCATGTAGATGCGCAAAATATTTTGCATGTACAGATACACTCACTGACTCACTCATTAACTCCGATGAGTATAACCCATTCTGAAGTGGAACAAAATTAACATCTTTAACCGACTTCCTTAAGCCCGAAGGGGACATGGAAGCACTACGTGCAGAAACAGGAAGAAGAGAAGAAAGAAGCTGCTCTGCGACAGGCGGCTCGTTGATTTTGAAGGTTTTGCAAAGCTACAATTGGCCCTTTCAATAGGCTTACCCGAACTCTAAGTCGTTCCTTCATACCAGTGACGAGGCTCAAAGAATCAAAGAGCACCGTGACCTCCGTCAGCGGAAGGACATGTGCGTTACATGCATGTTGTGCTCACACACGACGAAAACTCGAGTTGTAATTGCTTTCGAGCAATGATTCATCTGACCTTTCCCTCCGCAGAGCATGTGTGTGTGTACCCGGTACCCATGGCAACGCACTTAGAAAACTCGGTAGATGTCACTCGCTGAACCACATTGCAAAGGCAGAGGCCCTTGGCGTCAGGTTCGATCTCGGTGGTTGTTCGAAATGGTATCGCAGGAAACTGAATCAGAGAGACTCCGTTCGTACGTGTAAGGTGTCCTCGCTCTCATGGAAAAGAGCACACACACACACACACGGTGGGCAATCCTGAACACGTATTGCTATCAATGGGCCAGGGATCTATAAGGACGCTGTTTTGGTGGAACCCCTTACGGGCGAAACCAAACAAGTGAACAGAACGGCTGCAGTTAACTCAGTCGCAATTTGCTGTCTCATTCCACGTGCACTGGCCCTTTGCAGATGCCTGTGCGCGTCGACATGTGAAGAGTGAGCGACCGTCGGTTCAAGCACTTTCTGTAGTTCTGATGTTCAACTTAGACTAGTCGAAAGCCAAAAGCAACAGTCCTCAGTTTGCAGATGCTACACCTTGGCAAGAAGTCTGATTGGAAGAAGTCAGACTTTACCGCAATCGTCAGTATTCTGTGAAGCAGTTTTCCTTCAAGCTTGAGCCTCCAAGCGTCACCAGCTAAGCTTGTGGCAAAATTCTTGCGAAGTTTTACCCTCCCGCCCGTAGCAAGCCACGCCAGCTAGCCATTTTGCGGCGAAGCGGGGTGCATCTCAAATTTGTTGTTGCTGAAGAAGAAATATACATCCTTTTTGGTTTGTTTCGAGATCGGCACAGGGGTCCGCTTTGCTTCTGAGATGTGCTCGCTTTTGTGCCAGTGAGGGGGCACAAACGAACGTCCGGCAGCGACAAATTGCAACGGGCTTAATCGTAGAGGAAGATTTCGGTGACATTGGTCATGATGATGATGACTACAAATATGTCGATGATACTCTCCAGGAACATGAAGATGATGACGAGAATGAAGATGAAGACCTTCGGTGAGAACGATACCGATGTTGATGATGGTGATGACGATAAAGATGGCAATGATAGCCAAAGAAGGTCCGCGGGCACGCATGATGTGCCCAAATGAACCCTAAAGGTCCTTGCCACATTGATACATAGGTATGTAGACTTAAATGTAAAGCTATATAGGTAATTAGATATTCAGTTCTCTAGATATATAGATGTGTAGCTTTATAACATGATAAATAGATAGATAGGTTGATAGATAGATGGATAGATGTGAAGATATGAAATATTGAACGTGGAAAGATAGATATCTTGGTGTACAGGTATGTAGGTGGCAAAGTGTATACCGAGATACAGAGATATAGAGATATAGGTATATAAAGATGCAGAGTAC